TGTGATGTGGGTGGTGGTCATGGACCCTGCTGCCCCCGGGACCTGGTAACGGATAAGCGGATGAAAATGGATGGATGGATGAATCCATTTTCCAACTATCACACCCCCCCCCCCCTATCCTTATCCAACCTGACCTGCTTAATAACCCCATCCTTTCTATCTCTCCGTTTAGCTAACTAGTCCAAATCCGTCTCTCCTTTACTGTTCAACCTTTCATACAGCTCAGCATAAGTCGTCACCTTTACCTCGGCTACTGCTCTCTTAGCCCCCTCTTTTAGGCTAGCCTATTCTGAATTGCCTGATCTCCTGACTGCCCCGTTTTTGCTGATCTGCCCTCTTCTTCTTCTTCACCAACTCTCCTCGACATCACTACACTGACCTGGAGTCACACCGCATTAAGCGATCTTTTCCCAGTCTACTCCCAAGAGCTTCTGCCTCACCTCAACTCTAAACTCTACGCAACACTCCTCCCTTTCTTAGTTTCCGCAATTTAATCTTCATCTCTACACACAGCCATCCTTTGCTACACCATCCTCTGGCACCTCTTTACAATCGGCTCCCTTTTTCAGATGGCACTTCCTGCGCATGATGTAATCTCCCTGTCTGCATCGCTCTGTCCTCCGCTTTTACATGTAATCTTCTGTGCCTCCCTCTTCCTAAAATAGGTATTGACAGCAGCCCTTTCTGTCCTCTTTGCAAAGCCTACAATCATCTGTTCTACATGCCTGTCCTTCACACTATATCTACCAGGAACCTCCCCATCTCTTCTGTTCCCTTCAGCAACATGTCCATCCAGGTCCACTCTGTCCACTACTCTCTCCCCTGTGGGCACACCTTCTACCAATTCATCCAGTTTGCTCTGAAATACATTTCTATTCTGACTGACATCCATCTTGTGGTGCACCGATCACATTCGGAAATAAACTGTCAACTTCTGCCTTCAACCTCATGACTGTCTGCGACTCTATTCAAGTCCACAAAAAAAACCCCAGAAGACTTTCTTTCTTTGATGGTGTTTGACCAACAGTAGTCAACAATTTCCACCAGCGGCGGTCGGTGATCACTGTTAACTTGGATTTAGTTAAATTTATTGGGACTTGGGACTGTCAATAGGCGGTCCCAGAATGCCAATTGCTGGTTTCCCTTCACGTTGCCAAATAATGACTAAAAACGTCCAAATCTATTTAAAAATTGTGAATACTTATTATATATATTTTTTTGTATTTTTGAGTTTTACTTTTGCATACATTTGTTGACATTTTCCCATAATAATAATTCCATCATTTGGATTGCCGATGTTAACATAGGACCTCATTTATTGATATGTTTGTTTGGTTAAACGTGTTTATTTGTTTAGTTTTGGGACTGTGAAACTGAATGCATTGAATTTGATAATAATGTATTCCTTTTTTAACACATGGTTAGAATGACATGCACCGTATATCTAATGGTCTCCACTGTCTTAATAGTTCCCCTTGTAGTTGCTCTAACACAAAGGTATTACACTTTGTCATTTGCGCACGCTGTGGGGAAGACTTCTTTTCACCAAAGCACCTTAAGCTAAAAATACCATCTCATTGCCCCGCATGCGTTAGTGGAGGCTTCAGCTTGAGGCCGGGGTTGCGTCAAAGCAGCCCCATGTGATATTCCTGCACCCCTCGTGCTCTTTTGTTCCCTATTGTTCCTAATGATTTTGGAGACTGACTTCTGTGATTGAGCATCAGACCTCATCAAACAGG